GGGGTCTCGGGTAGGGGGATCTCGGGTGGGAGGGGTCTCGGGCTGGAGGAGTTGTTGTGTGGGGTATTCTGTATGGGGACTCCCCTACGGAAGGCGTCTCACAGGAATGGTTTGTGCACACTGCCAGCACAGCCCTGTGGGGACCTTGGCGGTAGCCCCTGCGTCCTCTTCTACGTCCTGGTGCTCCCCTGGAGCCCTCCTTCCCTCCATGGCCCCTGCCTCATGGGCTGTGTCAGGGCAACTGAGCACTGGGGTCTCCACACACCCAACTCCCTCTGGGCCTGGGGGTGGCGGCCAGGGAGGGTGTGCCCCTGCCCGTGCGGTCAGCGGTGCCTTAGCGCCGTCACCACTCAGAGCCGTTACTGCCGGACACGGCGAGGCCACAGCCGCTCTGGCGCCTTCGTTTCCATCCGGCTCAGCCCTCCTCCTGTGGGTCTCCGGTGTCATTTTCTGGAGGGGCAGCAGGAGGGAGGGGCCTGGCACACGATGTGACCTCGGCCCTGCTGCCCCTGCTGCCCCCGCTCCGGCCGCACGTGGCTCCTGCCTGGCAGCCTGTCCTGTGGGCTCAGGGAGCCCTGGCAGGGGGAAGCCCAGGCCCTGGATATGGGCCCCTGTCCTGCCAGCCTCAGGGCAGCCTCCTGGACACCCCCAGGGCCTTTCCATCCAGCAGGCAGGAGTTCCCGTGGGGGGCGCCCACGTTGTTCAGGGTGGTGGAGGGGCCCCGGAGGTGGGTGGGAAACAGCGCCCCTGCTGGAGCCTTCGGGACGTCTCCCAGGCCCCTCCTGCAAGTGGCAGTGTGTGGGTGGGTGAGGGCGGCTGTTCCTGCTCTGTGGGCTCTGTGCCCAGCCCTGGGGGCATCCTCTGACCCTGGGCCCTCAGAGGGCAGCCGTGCAGGAGTCTGGAAGGCTGCTCCTGTGGAGCTGAGTGGGTAGAGGCTGGCTAGGGTGAGCAGAGGGCACAGTAGGGGGTGCAGAGCTGCAGGGCGGAGGGGTGCAGAGCTGCAGGGCGGAGGCCTGCAGTGCCCTGGGGCTGGCCCCGCGGCTCGCCTGGGGAGGGAGGCAGCTGCTGCCCGCCGGGCGCACAGTGGGCTCTGGGCTGGGGTGGAGCCGGGCGAGCCGTGCCTTGCCTAGTCATCCCCTGAGAGTGAGAAAAGGGCCCGTGTGTCCTGTGCCCTGGGCCGGGCTGGGGCACAGCCTCCCCTTCCGCCTCCCCCAGGGCCCCAGCGGGACGCCCAGGCGGCGCGGGAGTTCATCCTGAAGATGTTCGTGGACCTGAACCCCGACAGCGACAAGATCATCTACTCGCACTTCACGTGCGCCACCGATACGGAGAACATCCGCTTCGTGTTCGCGGCCGTGAAGGACACCATCCTACAGCTTAACCTCAAGGAGTACAACCTGGTCTGACAGCGCCCCGGCCCGGGAGACACAGGGCGGGGCCAGGGCGGGGACGGCCCTCCTTCCCCGGAGCCCGCGCCGGCCGGGCGGGGCCTCTGCCCGCGGGAGGAGGTTTTTTTTTTTCGTACTTTTAACAAATGGTTTTTATTTCACAGTTATCAGGGGATGCACATCTTTCCGTACACTTCGTGCATCTTCTCACCTTTTGTCAGCGGCAAAGGCGGCCTTTTTCTGGCCTTGACTTATGGCTCGCTTTTTTCTAAAAAAAAAAAAAAAAAAAAAAAAAAAAAAAAAAAAAAAAAAAAGAAAAAGAAAAAGCCCTACGAAACATAAAACACATGTGCGCCCTGTGCCCCCAGCGACTCTGGGCCTCACTGAGCCCCTGGCAGCCCTCGTGGGGGCCCCGCCCCGCAGCCCCCGTCCCCGCCCGCGGCCCCCGTCCCCGCCCGCGGCTGTCCTTCCAACCCCGCCTGCTTTTTCTTTCTCTTCCCCGCTTCTTCCTCATCGCGAAAGGCGTGGAGACTCGGAGACTGACGTTTTTCCCCTTTAAGTTATTGACGCCCAGTGCGCCTCGCCTCTTCACAACTCAATGCTGTGTTTTGCCCACTGGACCCCTGAAGAGGGGGTGGGGGGCTCCCTCAGTCGCCCACCCTGGGAAGTGCCTAACCTTTTTTTTTTTTTTTTTTTTTTTTTTTTTTTTTTTGAGGAAAAAGAACGCCTGACTGCACAGGTTGAAGAAACACCCTGGGCCCCCTCATGGCCAGGTCGCCCGTCTCTCTGCAGAGTCTGGGAAGGGACCCTGGGCTGGAGCCATGGGGGCTCAGGGCTCCTCAGGCTGTGCCGCCAGGGCCAGCGTCGGCCGCTTGGAGCCGCCCTGCCCCGGCTGGAGCGCACCTCACTGCAGCCCACGTCGGCTGGGTGGCTGGAGGGACAGTCCCCGGTGACACCGGGAGAAAGGCCACCTGGCTGGGGCATTTCTTTTAGTTTTGTTCCGCTTTGTGTTGTCACCAATTCGGAAACAGCGAGGGTGGGGTGGGGACTTTTACAGAATATTCTCAGGTGTGTACCCGAGAGGCAGAGAGAGGGACGTGGCCGGCAGCTCCGTGCGTGGCCTTGTCCCAAGCACTTGTGCCTGCCCCCAGCGCCGCCCCCCGGGGGCGGGGAAGGGGCGGGAACCAGCACTCGCACTTTGGCCAGGGGCACGGGGAGGGTGGCGGCAGGCACCGGCCCGGGCAGCTTCCCAGCCTGGCTGGCCACGGCCGTGGCCCGAGGGGGAGCCCGCCAGGCCACGCGCACTGAGCCACAGCCCGGGGACCTCCTCCTGGGGCCCCTTTAGGCACTGAGGCACCAAGACTGGTTCTCCCCGGAGAGTTGGGCGCTGTGGAAGGAGGGACTGTTTTGGGGAGGCAGCTCTTCCTCTCCTGTTGACTGAACACTACAGCGCTTTGTGGGTCTGTGGCTGGCACAGCTGGCCCAGGGGTGGATCGCCCGTGCTGCCTTTCCCGCCTGATGCGGACTCTGCCCCGCTGCTTCTAGCCTTGACAGATGACAAAAGAAACGGCCCCAGAGTAAGAGCACCCTGACCAGCAGTTCCTGCCCACCGCTGTCGGGCCTGCCCCGGCCTCCTTGTCTGCAGGGCTGTCTGCTGGCTTCTGGGGGGAGAAGCAGGGGAGCCCAATGGAGGGGCAGGGGAGGTGCGTACAGGTCAGGGCAGTTACATTTCTGGTGATGAGCCCCATGGGGAGAAGGGGCTGGCGGGATCCCCCTCCCAGCTTCCCATGCCACTTTTCCTCTTTTGTCTCTCCCAGAAGCGTCCTTTTTTTGTGCCAAGTGTCTACCTAAGAGGGTTGGTGCCAGCAGCCCCCCATGGCGGGTGCTGGGGTCCGGCGGTGCCCTGGGGAACAGATGGGGCCACCCTTGGCAGGGTCGCTGCATCCGTTCCCGAAGTGGACTCCTCTGGGGGCCTGGGCTTGTGGCATCTCTGAAGGCCCAGATCGCACAAGGGGACCTGGACCTGGCCTGAGGGTGCAGTTGCCCAGTACTCAGGCCGGGGTGCCACTGGGCTAAGTATTAGCTTTTCCCGGGGAGGGGCCGTGCCAAGCATCCCAGAGCCAGGCTGGGGCCGCCAAACTGTCTTGCTCCGGGTCCTCTGGGCCTGAGTGCCTGATCCCCCTCCCCCGAGAAGAGCGGAGGTGGGAGTTGCAGGCCTGGGGCAGGGTGCTTGCCCAGTACAGTCCCAGGCAGTGGTTCTCGTGCCATTGACACCCTCGGGTTGGGGAAGGGGCAGCCGACCCCCACCCTTGCCACATGTGGGGCCACGTGTGGGGTGTGTGTTTTTACCTTGGTGACTCACCTGCCAACGCTTTCTCGTGAGTGCCGACCACCTTCTCCGACCACGTCACGCCCAGGCGGCAGCAGTCCCCGGCCACCACAAGACCCACGCCCTGGGTCCCCTGGCTCCTCCAGAGGGGCATCCCCGTGCAAATGTCCCCCAGTGGTGGCAGTGGGTCCTGTGGCCGGCCTGGTGGATGGGACCCGGTGATACTTGTATATTACACAGTCCTGATTTCAGACGATTTCAACCTTAATCTATTTAAAAAAGAATATTCTATACAATGCTGTTTTTAAACCTTTTACCATTTGAAATGCATGTGTTGTGCGAATTGGGGGATGGGAGGGGGCTGGGGCACGGCTCAGTGTCACCTCCCGTGGCCACCAGCCCTGACCCTTCTTCCAGACACTGATGGAAGTCGACTTTTCATATCTTTCTCCTGAAATGAACTCTGTTTTAAATTGGAATAAATTTTGTTCCTAAATGCTGGCAGCCCCCTTCTGGTTAATTTCCTGTTGCCCTTCCAAGAGGGTTGGGGGTGAGTGTGCAGAGGCCTGGCCCCCAGGAGCCCTGGACTTCCCAGGGCGTTGCCTGCCCCTGTGGGAGCCTCCTGGCCACATCCGAACGGTGTCCTGGGGCCTCTCCCCCATCATCTTGTTTGATCCCGGGCTTCAGGTTCATTTCACTAGCACCAGGCCGCAGCAACCCCCCCGGGACACGCCGCCTTGTTTGGGGGACTGGGGAGTGAGATGGGGAGGAGCCCAGGTCCTGGGCCGGCCCACTGCCCACCCCCCACCGTCCAGGGCACCTGTGGGGAAGTCCTGCCCTCCCGGCCTCCGTTTCTGTCAGCTGCGGACGTGGGACCTCTGCAGTCTTCCTTCAGTTATTTTTTCCTTTTGAAAACAAGTGAACAGTAAAATACAGATACCAAACGTCTAAGCGCGCAGCTGAGTGGCGTTCAGTGCATCCACACGGTTGTGCAGCCATCACCACCATCCTCTCCAGAACCTTCTCTTCCTAAACTGAAACAGACCCCATGAAACACTCCCCGCCTGTCCCCCTCCCCGCCCCCGACACCCCCCCATCCTACTCTCTGTCTCTGTGAATCTGATGGCTCTAGGGACCTCCTAGGGGTCGAACCGCATGGGATGTGTCCTGTCTCTGGTATCTCGCACTGAGCGTGATATTCTGAAGATGCATCCACATTGCTGTCTGTGTCCAGGTTCCCTTTTCATGGCTCAGTAATATTCCCCTGTGTGGATGGGCCATGCTGTGTTGATCTCTCCGTCGTTGATGCATGTCTATCCGGGTGGCTTCTACCTTGTGGCTTTCGGGAATTGTGCCGCTGT